CGGGAGCCGCGGGCCGGGCCCGGCGGGCGGTGGCCGCTGGCCGCGACGGGGTGAGGCCGGCACCGCGAGAGCGGACTTCGTCGCCAAGCTGCGCCCTCGGCCGGGCGGGCCTGCGGGAGGCCTGCGGCCGGCCGGCCGCTCTATAATTAGGCCGCGTCCTCAGCGCCGGGAATGGCTTTCGGCAGAGGTTAAATAATAGCGCGGCTGCGGCCCCGCTGCCTCGTTAGTGTGAGTGCGCGGCTCGCCCTCGGGAGCCGGGGAGCGGAGAGCGACGGGGCTCCGGGGCGCGTGCAGGCTGTGCGCTCCGCGGCCGCGCTCCGTGCTGTGCCGTTCGTCGTCCCTGTGAAGAAGCCGGAGAACGAGCGCTTCCCGGCAGCTCCTGCCCGCGCTGTGCGGTGCTGACACCCCGGGCTCCCGGCGGTCCCGTCCCGTGTCCGCCCTGTTCTGCGGGCACGGCCGTAGCGCGGTCGGGGAGTTCCCTGCGGCTCCGCCGGCTTGGCTTTAGAAGCTGGGACGGGAGCAGCGGTAGTGAGACAGGTGAGGCTGATGCCAGGCAGGGATGCGGGAGCTCCAACTGGAAGTATAAGGTGTAGCTGGAAGCCCTAGGGGTGCGCGTGCGAAATTCGGCCTCTTGTAACTCGGTCGGCACTCGGGAGCAGTTTAGCGGCCGGCTCCCGTGGATCCCTAGAGATGGGAGCGCAGGGCTCGGTGTGTGTGGCTGTTTCTGCGCTCCCAGCAGAGCGCCCAACGTAATGCCTCTGGAGCCTGACTGCATCTCCTCCCCTCCCCCTGCCGCAGTGTGGTTGGCTGCTGAGCGCCTGGTGCCCGCGTTTCTGCTAGAACGGGGGGCAGCGCGGCACTCATCGCTGGAGCTGCGCATCGCCGCCGCCCGTGCTTCTCCGCGGCTCCGGAGCATCCGGGAGTGCCGGCACTGGACGAGCCGCTGCAGGCATCCAGGTACTGCTGCTCTGCGGTGCGGGGTGGGCGGAAGATTCCCATCTGGTGACTGTGAAGGGCAGGGTGCCCAGCCGTCCTGTAACAAAGGACCGCTTTGAGCTGCGATTTCGAGGAGAGCTGACGGAAACTTTTCTCCTGGGAAGCTTATGGTTAGGCAGGTAGGCGCAGAATTGCTCTGTGGTAGCGCTTGAGAGGGATGAAGGGATTTCCCTGGTTTGCTTGTCCCAAGGATATGCAGCGGGCGTGCCTCCTGCTGCCAGACAAAGCCGGAGGAATGATGACGGAGGCAGCTCCCTAGCATACAGCAACGGCTCGCAAACTTTCAGAGCCTTGTTCCCACACGAGCCTCCCTCCCGCAAATAAAGGGCGTACAAAGCTGTTCCCAAACAGAACTGCATCCTGGGCAGGGGGGCAGTTCCTGGTAAATCTCTGGGAGGGAAAAGATGCAGCTAGGAGGTGACCGGAGAGGGCTGGGGGATGGTGTTGCGGCAGAGTGCTCTGGTCAGGCAGCCGGGAGAAATTTGCACAATGATGAGAGGCAGCAGCAGCAGAGGCTTCCCTGAGCCCTGCCTGGCTGGCAGCTGGTGCTCTCCTGCGGCTTTGCCTGAGCTGCTCCGTGCTAGGGTCTCCTCTAGTGCCCTTGGGCTCTGTTCCCAGTGCCTCCTTGTCCGCCGTGGAGAGGTGGAAAAAACCACTCTGCGAAAAGAAGGGTGGTGTTCAGTGCGTGTGGGTCAAAGATCCAACCCGCCCAGACGCAGAGTAAATAAACATGGCTGAGCTTTGCTGCAGTTGGCAGAAGGAGAAGGAAGCGCGTGTTCTCCTCAGCTGTTTCAGAGGAATGCCCAGGTAGGAACAACAGCATTAACACCAGAGACTTAAATGGATCTCGGGGGCTCGAGGGACATGTTTCAAGACGTTGGCAGAATTGTTGGATAAAGGCTTGATTTGCTAGGAAAGAGCCACGTAGCTCCAACTGGTCCGGGGAGCCAGAGGTAAGCAGGATCCTTTGTTTATTATGCAGGTAACACTTTGGTTCTGTGGATTTGGCAGCCTTGTTACGGTTTGAGACCCGTTTGTTTCTGGAAATAGCCTATAGTCAGCTGGTCTCTGCAGCTGTCCCAGGTATGCAGTGGAGAGGGTGTGGGTGCTGTGGTGCCTGTCAGGGTCCACAGCAGCTCCCAGCTGCCTGCTGGGCTGTCCCTGTGCTCCTGAGGCACATCCAGCGCGTGGCTCTCCGATTAGACAGATGCCTGTGGAGGCATCGACTCCTGGGAATTATTCTGCCTGCTTTAATACCACTTCATGCTGTCAGGGCAAGGTAATGGCTCTCGCTCTGTATTCTGTACAGCAAGACTCCCAATCAGATTTTGAAGCTAGGGAGAGATGCGTGTCCTGGCTTTGTTCCAGCTGCTTAGCTCTCGTCTCCTCTAGCCCGGAAACAGGTTTTAATGGTGTTCCACTGTAGTCTCTTGCACAGCAGATGCAGAGTGGATTTGGTGAGCCACTGCAGACATGAGCAAGAGTTTAAAAACAAAGTCTTAGCAGCTGGTCTGGAGATGCTGGCACAATTTTGCTGGTAGATGCTGATTGCTGATAAAGACTGCAATTCCTCTGGTTCTAGTGGCCCAGTGAAAGGTGTGTTTTCCTGGATAGCTGGGAGAATAGCCCAGCATGAGCTGCTGGAAGGCACAGACTGGCTTTCTGCTAGTGTACCGGTCTATTTATTTCTTTTTATTGTACCTTTGTTGTCTCCAATGTCTGTATTCTGTGATTGCTGAAGAGCAGAAGTAGTAAGCACTTCTGATCTTGAAAGGAATGCTCTGAAACAAAGCCAACCAGATCAGCTTCTCCATCTCCCTCAGAGCAGATATGGTTTTGGAATACCTGCTTTAGTAACACAGAATTGCTTACCCTGGTCATCTGCTGCCAACCACAACAAACCTCGGTAGCTTTTGATGTACTGTTTTTAGGTGTGCACAGGAAAACAGGAGGGGAAGAGAAGCTTCCAGGACCTTTCTGAGCTTGGATCACTGTGGCCAAGTGCCCAGAAAGCCAGCTTACCACCACCTTGCCACAGGTTTCAGAAGGGTTATGCTAATTGAATTTTCTGTTAGAGATCAGAGGGTGGTGAGGAGCTAAGGCTTCTGGGGCAGAGAGGAATGCTTTATGCTGAGGGGAAGAGCATGAAGGGAGACTCCGTTCTATTTTTGTGGGGGAGCCCTTCCACATGAGCTGCAAGCCTGCTTCCCGAGTCCTAGTTAATGCCCATGGGACTCTTGCAGCCTGCTGGTTAGTACAGGCTTTCCCAACGGAGGCCTTCTGGCATCTAGAAGAGCTCCTGGTGCTTCACACCCTGCTGGAGCTGGCATGTGTCAGCTGCTGCTGAAAGAAGCAGTTCTGGCCCTGGTCCCTGTCCAGGGCGTAGGGAGAGCTGGGTCCTTTCCAGCAGCACAGTCAACTTGTGCTGAGTTACAAATGACTGTAAAGCCTGGGGAAACTGGTTGGATGAAGCGTTTCTGTGCTCGAAGACTGGCTTTAAAACCCTGCAGGAAGGTGTGTGGATGCTGAGGAGAGTCCCACGTTTGGGCTGCGGGAGAATATAGGTGAGAGCTCTTTTTCAGTTCCCAGCTCTGCTGTTAGATGGGGGTTGCATTGCCTCTCTTTCTGTGTTACAGAGAAGCCCTGTCCTCTTATGACCTGGTGAAAGGGTACGTGTGCTACATTCCCTTTCCTTGGGCACCCGGTCAGTGTCTAGTGCCAGGGTGCCTGGTCCCTTTGTCCTGGAGTGGGGCTTAGCAAAGGGAAATGCAATGAGGAGTTTATCAGATAGAATTTCAGATTAGAATTGTCATCTTTTTGTTCTTCCCTGGATAGTCAAGCTGTGTGTTAGGAGTCCGAAGAGAGTGTAGGATCTCCATCTTGGGAGATAAACAATTCTTGACTGTACACAGCCATCAGGTTCCTGATCAGAGTGGGGGGGATGGATCAGTGATATCAAAACATGCCTTTGAAACACCCATCACAGGCTCTTTAATTAGGGAGGAAGTTGCAACACAGCATTCTGTTCAGTGTACATGAGATCATCTGTGTGTCATTTTAACTTATGAGGCTGTCTGCAGTGCAGGAAGTGTCCACACTGGGGTTGGGGGACAACTTGGGACAGAAGATGGGGCTCTTAGGTGCTCCTTTTTAGGTCTTGGGGTGGAGAAACTTGTAAGCCAGAAGTAAGTGGTGGCAGAGCCTCGTGCCTATCAGAGCTGAGGTAGCATCTCTCGGCTCTGGGGTCGCAGCTCAGATATACCCCGGGTTGTTGCTCCCAGGGTGCTGACCCCTTACTCGTGTTAGTGTGTTGTTAGTGGCTCTAAGGGAGCGAGAGATGTGCCTGGCATTGCTGGCACTGGTGGCAAGCATCACAGGGCACTGTTCCTGTTCTGCGTCACATGAACTTCAGCAGGTATGAGACTTTTGCTGCCTAGTTTCTGGCTATTTGTCCTCTAATTTCTGGCTGTTATTCACAGCTTGTAGGAGCTCTTAATGCTACCCTGAAGCTGATTGCACACCCATCTGTCTCTCCGCTTGCAAAACATCCTCCCCTTGTCTTTGTTCCTAAAGCCTTAACACGTGTGTGTGCAGCTGCTTGTAGCTGTGAAGTCCTCGGATGCTGTGCAGTAGAGCAGCCTGGAAGCGCTGATTGCTGTACGTGCAGCCTGGCAGCAGCTTGTCCCTTCTGCAGGCTCTGCTGTGGGGGCCCTGGGGTGGTGACCCTGAGCACAGTGGCTCTCCTGGCAGTGCTGTGGAAGGGTGCGAGTTTCCTGGCAGCGTCAGCATGCCCTGTTGTGCAGGGAAGCCTCGGTGGCTCTGTGCAGCTGGTCGCCATCTCTTATGGTCTGTTTGTTTTCTGACGCTGTGGTGTCAAAATATGGAACAAGCTTGTGCCACCACCACCTCTGTGATAGTTAAGCCTTGTTGCTCTGCTTGCTTTTTACTGCTTGTATTTTAGTTTTTGGTGTGCAGGGTATTAGGTCCACGTTTTCATGTGGTATCCCTTAGGAGTGGAGAATCTGTTGTCGCTTCGTGGGCATCCCCCTGTCCTAAAAGCTCTTTGTTGTTGAATGGCAATGAGCTGGCAGGGCACCAAAAGCAGGAAAGAAAAAAAAAAAAAGAAAACAACAGAACCTTTTGGGCACCTGTCAAGCAGATCAGCCCTACCTGCTGTGCTAGGTAGCAAAAGCACATCCCACAGCACAAGACCGGGGTAATTATTGTGAAAATAAGCTTTCAGTCATCTGTTTCAATTTCTAAAATGCTACCATGGATATTTATCTCCCAAACTTGTTCTCTTCTGCCATGAATCAGTCTTATTCTTTTCCACAGGAAGCTGTTTTGCAGAACCCAGTCATTTTCCTGCAATTACCATATTTGTAGATCACTGTCTCTTTCAGAAGAGTTTGCTGCTAAAATCTGCGCTCACTTCTCTCCAGAAAGCCCTGGCAGGCCATCTGCAGCTTGAAGGAAGCTGCAGTTATTGTCCTGACAGCATTGCTTGTGCAAGCTGTGACAGTACCCTGCCTCTTACGTATACTTGGTCTAGAACATGCAGAGAGTCAGCGAGGTGAAAGGAATTTGTTGAGGCGTGCACAGAGGTAATGCCCACCTGAAGTCTGTTTCTGTTGTACTTGAGCCCTGGTTTCTCTGGTCCCAATTTCCTTGCTCTCTGTAGCCTCCTAGCATTAGGCATCGTGATGTAATCTTTCAGATTCACTTGGACCCGTTTAGTCTGGCATCCTTGTCTCTGTGGCAGCAGTTGTGGGTTTGAGATACAGGCAGGGAAGTTTTCAGCTCTTTCCTCTTTAAGCTCTTGCGTGTGGGAGTGCTTTTTGGAGGCAGTGGGCTGGTGAAACTGCTGATGCTTAGTGCTTCCCCGGTGTTGCACTTGCATGCAGGAAGAAGCTTTGTGCCTAGGAGGATGTGACAGCTGGTGGATTCCCAGCTGGTTGCTGCGGCTGCCACAAAGCTCAGTGCACGCATGTTCCTTCCCTGCCTTCCTGCGGCACCCCTCCAAATGAGAGCAGTGGCAGGGAGGGGAGGCCAGTCCTAGCAGCTCTCCTTAAGCAGGGAAGACGTGCCAACTAGAGCGGAAACGTGCTGGTGGAGGCCTGAGCTGCTGCACCCCCTGAGCTGTGGGGAAAGCAGCAGGAGGAACCAGGAGCTGGGTGCCGTGGCTCCCTAGGATCTTGCTGGAAAAGCTTGCTTTCTCCTAGTCTGCAACTCCTCCTTCCAAAGGCAAATGCTGGTGTATCCGCTCCTCTCTGCAGGAGCCTCTGAGTGCGTTTTCATCCCGCAGAAAGGACACTGCATGCTCTTCACTGAATGTGTGGGAGTAGGAAGAGTGCTTATGCAGCAGCCTCAGCCTGCCTGACCTTGGCGTTGGTTGCCATAGAGTGTTTCCTCTCCGAGGGCTGTGCATACACTGTGGACCCACCAGCCCTCTGGAGAGTGAGAAATAAGGCTCTGCAGGGAAGAATGCACGCTTCAGAGGGATAAGAAGTCATCTTCCAGCAGTGTTTGTGGGTTTTCTTCGCTCCACAAAAAGTATTTAAGGGGTTTCCTTGCAGCTGTCTCATGTTGGTGTTTGGTAGCATGCAACCCCTGTGCAGTTGTCAGGTCTTGCACCTCCCAGACAGCCTGCTCTCCACCCTGCAACAGGAGGCTGGAGCTGAGTGCTAAGTGTGTTGTACCTAGCAGGGCTGTGCTTCTGGAACATCAGCTTCAAGGAGAAAGTCAGGGACTGCAGAGGTGTTCACAGTCAGTGACTGAAGAGGAAGTGACAGTGGTATGCCTTGAGGATCTGCAGTTCTGGGGTAGGATTCTGTTGGTCCTGGGGACTTTGGAATGCTCTAGTCTTTTTCTTCTGGAAGAGCTGAACAAACAGGATGTTGCTGGAATAGAGGCTGGTGTTTTAACACACAGGTCAGCAGTTTCTCACCTGATTAGTAGTTCTGCACACAGCGGGATTAATGAGGCTGATTTCCCATGGATCTGGGTCTTGTCTCAGAGCTTGCAAGCTCTGGTGGCTTTCTGTCCTGGTCCATAACACGTACCTCTTCCCAGTGCTTGAGGTATTGTACTCCACAAAGATGGCTGCAAGAGCTCTGACCCTCCCTAAAAGGATGCAGCAGTGCTTCCTGGAAACTGTCAGCATTTCATGGCTAATCCAGTAAACAGGGACGGATGAATCACTCAATCAATCCACCAGATGTCTTATGAAAAAGTGGGAAAGGACATTGCTAGTTGAACTTTGGGCTAGATGGGATTATCCAGGAATGGGCAGCTGAGCAATTTGGAAATCAGGATTTAGGTGGTGGTCAGCTCACAACAGACTTATTGGCAACAGTCTGTTCCCCGGTATCTTAGAGAGATACTTCATGCCATTCTTACCATTTCCCAGTCTGCTTTTGAGAAGACTAAATGTTGTGTTCTAGATGAGACTGCTCAGTGTAAGATGGAGAATGCACAGGGTAACCACATGTGGAGCGTGGCAGGGGCTCAAAGGGGAAGGATGCAATGAGATGCAGTGCAGGGTTGGTGCTGGATGTTGAAGCAAAAGTCAAGTCAGTGTTGTGACTATGGGACTTGGTGGGGAGGAACTCAGTTCTTACTTAAGGTAAGAATGGTCTTCAAGAACCGCAGTGTTTCTGCCTTGCTGAGGTTTGCTAAGGTCCCTGCTGGGTGTTGAGAGTTTGCACTTCTGCAGGGATGTGCATGACTGGAATAGGAGGCGGAGAGGAGAGTTCAGTTTGTAATACAACTTGAGGAACTCCTGGAGGAGTGATGAGGAAAAGACTGGACCCCGCTGTTGCTCAGCACAAAGACACTGGTAGCTGAGCTGGGGGATCCTCCTGGGCAGAGCGTGGAGCCGGGGAGGAGAGAAGCCCTGCCAAGAAAAGTGCTGTTCTCCCTCTTGCTCTGCCTGGGGAGGCATTTCTGCACGCTCCGTAATCCTAGGCACCCTAGAGCTCAAATAGTGCAGGAAGACAAAATCATTTGATGCCCTTGTGCAAGTAGCTTGATGTTTTTCTGCTGTGCATCTGGGAAGAATAGGAAAAAGGGAAGGAGTAGAGAGTTGTACCAACCTGAGTTGTCCTTGAGCTGGCAGCAGGGCAAAGAAGGCTGGAAGAGCCATTACTGTTTGGAGCTGACACCCATACAAGGATGACAGTAGTGGAAATCTAGCAATTCCTGCATGTAAGCTTTCCCACAAAGATGGGATTCAGTTAATGCTGGTGGTGTTACATCCCTTACTGCTGCTGGGGTCATTCTGTGCCTGACCTGAGATTTTCAGGGCGTATGCTTTTTGTCAGGGAATTTTTGTTGGCCTGGTAAAGCTACTGGTGCGTCCCTGCTTGAGAGATGATCTTCTGGGAGATTGGCCTTTGAGGAGGCAGAATGCCTTGAGCTGGCATCCCTCTGCTTTCTATTCCCTTTCTTCCACAATCAGAAGAGGTGTTGAGCTCTGACAGCCTCCTTGCATCAGTGGTTTGTGGTAGGAGGTGCACAATCCTAGCTGCCAACTACAAATCTCTGCTCCTAAATGGAAACCAGATCAGTTTTCCTTGCTGTTGGGAGTGTGGAGGTGTTGGAGATCAGCTCTGAATTGAGCCTTTTTGTCTCCTGTCCACATGTGTCACCTGCACTGGCTGTCAGCACTCAGTGCCACAGAAAGGGAGATGCATACCCTGTGTGCTGCTGAAGGGAGAAAGAAGGGAGGGCAAAGTGAAAAGGCTTAATGTGGGCAGCCAGTTGCCTCCTGAAGGAGGCTGTGATGCTTGTGTCTGGTTATAGCTCTTTGAAACAACACTGAAGTCCTTAAGTTTTGGTGCTCTCTCTCTCTCTGTAGGGCTGCAGGACCAGGACTATGTCCACCATGGTGTACCCAAGGGAGGAGAAACTGGACAAACTGAGCCAAGAGGAGATAATTTCTAACACCAAGCTGGTGATGCAGGGGCTGGAGGCTCTCAAGAATGAACACAACTCCATCCTGCACAGCTTGCTGGAGACCATCAAGTGTCTGAAGAAGGATGAAGAAGCCAACCTTGTGCATGAGAAATCCAACCTGCTCCGCAAGTCAGTGGAGATGATTGAACTGGGGCTTGGAGAAGCTCAGGTGAGAATGGCAGGCGCCATCCCATGTGGTACCTGGGGCTGGCAGGGGGAGGCAAGCGTGTGGCTGTTACCAATAAGCTGCAGGGGTAGCACTGGGCTGAGGGTGGTCTCCAGTCGTGTGTGAGGGAGATAAAAGGTTATCGTCCATACTGACTGTGGCTGGGACTCTTGACAAGGTGATGATGGCACTGTCCAACCATCTGAATGCGGTGGAGTCAGAGAAGCAGAAGTTGCGTGCTCAGGTACGGAGGCTGTGCCAGGAGAACCAGTGGCTGCGTGACGAGCTTGCCAACACCCAGCAGAAGCTGCAGCGCAGTGAACAAACTGTGGCTCAGCTGGAGGAGGAGAAGAAACACCTGGAGTTCATGAACCAGCTGAAGAAGTATGATGAGGATGTCTCTCCTTCGGTATGCCCTTGCCCTGTCAAGCAGCAGCCTTTTCTGTTGGGGGGTTGGACCAGTAGGATTGCCTGAATGCAACAGCCTTGTTCTGGATGTTACCCCTTCCCAGCTGCGGTGCACAGCAGTGCTTGTAATTAGAGGAAGCCTGCCTGGGGCAGGGTCTTTGGTAAAACATGGAAGAGAGTGCCATGATACGATGGGGGGGAAACTTGGTTTTGTTGGGTGGAAGAAAGGCAGTAGGGATGACCAAGAAGTTAAGGGTATTGGTGGCAGCTGAGTCAGCCCAAACTGCTGTTCTCTGATTCCTATCCTCTCAGGAGGAGAAAGAAGGTGACTCCACCAAGGACTCCCTGGATGATCTGTTTCCAAACGAGGAAGAGGAACATGGTCCTGGATGTGAGTGCTTGCTCATGCTTAGTTATTGCCTGTATCTGTTCAAACCTGCTGTGCCAAATGTGCCCTGGTGTATTCTGTGCCTGCAGTGCCCCACCAGCATAGCAGTGCAGTAGCAGCTGCCCAGCAAGGAGGCTATGAGATTCCTGCACGCTTGCGCACCCTCCACAACCTTGTCATCCAGTATGCTTCACAAGGACGCTATGAGGTGGCTGTGCCGCTCTGCAAGCAGGCACTGGAGGACCTGGAGAAGACATCAGGCCATGATCACCCTGATGTGGCCACCATGCTCAACATCCTGGCGCTGGTGTACAGGTGAGGGTGGGGAGGGCAGGACTGAGCCAGGAGGGCTCTTCCTCTGCAGTTTACCAGGTTAACACATTCTGGTGATAAGGATTTCTCCCAGCTTCCAGTGCTCTGCCTTTCAAAAAAAAGGTTTTGGCATAGATGAAGTATTTGGACCACCAAGCTCCCCGATAAGTAAACTGAGGAAGGGGGAAAGGAGAGGGCTGTTGGAGGCTGATCTTTGTGGAGGGAGGAGTGTTGCTCGTGGTTCTGCTTGCCACAGGCTGTGGTGTCCAAACCACAGGTAACTAACTGGCTTTGCACTGCAGGGATCAGAATAAATACAAGGAGGCAGCACATCTCTTGAATGATGCTCTCTCCATCCGTGAGAAGACCCTGGGTAAAGACCACCCTGCAGTGAGTACCTGCCTTCTCTTTTAGTCACTTCTTTCGACCACTCTGCATGCCACTGGGGCTAGTGCAGTGCCCCTTTCCCTTGTGACTTGTCTGCAACCTGGCCCTTTGGTGCTGGGCTGGGGGCATTGTGTCGTATTTTCCTGCTGTCTTGTTCAGTATGGCCAATCAGGAGATGGCATCTTCTGGACTGTGCTGTGCAGGCAAGATAACTTTCTGCCTCTGGACCTCTATTTCCAGAAGCATCTGTACTGGCAGGGGTGAAAGAATGGGGCAGTTACTGCTGCTTGCTCCCCAGGTTGGTCCCACTGAATTTGGCTTTGTTTCACAGAGAAACTTATATCTATGCAGGTGGCTGCAACTTTGAACAATCTGGCTGTTCTCTATGGCAAGAGAGGGAAGTACAAAGAAGCAGAGCCACTTTGTAAGCGAGCCCTGGAGATCCGTGAGAAGGTACTGGTCTCATATGCTCTCCTTCCTTCCAGCTCAACCTTCTGGTTTTCTCTCCCTGCCTTACTGCACCTGAAAGATCCAGAACCCACCTAGTCTCTTCAGCTGCTGATTGTGCCACTGCTTTTCTTGTCCCTCCAGTGTTTGCAGTGTTTAGAAAGGCCTGATGGGAGGTGGGAGCTAGAATTTTTCCACTTAACCTCTGTAGTCCTTTGCTCCTGGCTGACGAGTGGCTGCCCTCTGGGTTGGGCTGGAGCTGCTTAAATGTCCCCCAAATGTTCATTGTCAAGTATTGTCATCTTGTGACTTCTGTGTATCCAGGTCCTAGGCAAAGACCATCCTGATGTGGCCAAGCAACTGAACAATCTGGCCCTGCTGTGCCAGAACCAAGGCAAATATGAGGAGGTGGAGTACTATTACTGCAGGGCCCTGGAGATCTATGAGAGCTGCCTGGGTCCTGATGATCCCAATGTAGCCAAGACCAAGAACAACCTGGTGAGACCCTGGGAAGAGGCCGTGTGGGAATGGGTGGTGGTGTCATAGTAGACACACGGCTTGGTGTCTGGAGGAAACAGGGAGAAAGCTGGGAGAAGTGGGGAGGGTTAATTTGTGTTGCCCAGTGGGATTGGAGCTGTTTTCTTGGTTGCAGGCCTCCTGTTACTTGAAGCAAGGCAAATACAGTAATGCAGAGGTGCTGTACAAGGAGATCCTTACCCGTGCTCACGTGAAGGAGTTCGGCTCTGTGGATGGTTTGTACACACTCTACTGGGGCAAGAGTGAACAGTTTGCTCTTTCCCCACCCGTGTGGTAGAGAGATGGGATACCTTGCAGGGCCCTTGTTTTTTGGGCAGGCCTCGAGACACCGCCATTCTAGTTTGTCATGCTGCTTCACTTCTTTCAGAAGGAGTCTTAGTGAGCTCTAGCTTTCAGTCTGCTAGGTTGGCAAGCAGTTGTGGCTTAACAGGGAAGAAGAGCATAGGGCTTCTCAGGCATGAGTTGAAGTTTCTCCTGTAGTTCTGACACAGGCAGGGGAAGAACTTGTTCCCTCTTTCCTATGCTTTGCGCTTGCAGTGTCAGTTGCCTTTCTTGTGGCTGTAGCCAGTGCCTGGAAGCTCTGTGATGAGCTGCTGGCTTTGGAGATGGTGCTGGGCTGTGCAGAGAGCAGAGCAGTAGTGGAAGTGGCAGAGTAACAGATAAATTGGTGAGTGGAGCTGTCTTTCATTTTTTCCCCACACAGAAGAACACAAGCCAATCTGGATGCATGCAGAGGAGAGAGAGGAGATGAGCAAGGTGAGTCTGCGCTCGTGGTGCAGCCTGTTGACAGCAGCAAGAGCCCCGATAGGGGAAGGAGATCCTGGGGTTTTGATGCCCTCGTATCACAACCAGACTTTGCTTTCTGCAGTCTGAAGAGCTGTTGTGGCCACTGATAAAGGAGTGGTGTGTGGAATGGGGGAGGTATGGTTGTTCCTTGGGGCACTGAGGAATGGAGGCTCATCAGAGGACCTGATATTTTACTTGGAGTGGGGAGTTATTCAGCACCTCCACAATGGCTGCATGCTCTCTGTTTTAGTGAAACCTCTAAGGCAAGCAGATGATGGAAGATGGTTGATGGCAGAGTGTGCTGCAGGGTTTTGGTGCTGCCAGTACCCAGAGCACATCTTGAGGCTGCCTGGAAGTGGGTTAAGAAGACACTACTGTTGTCACCTTGCTTAGCAGGCAGGTCTGAACCTTATGGAAAAGAACTCCAAACAGTTTTCTAGCTGTTCGATGTCTTAACTGGCCTCTGAATGAGGGCCTTGGATTTGGCAGAGAGGCTTTCTGTTGCAGCTGATAAATGCAGCAGAGTTCAGTTTGCTTTTTTGCCAGGAGGACAAAACAGCAGAGTGGATGGCTACTACTACAAAAAAACGTACTGGCTGTAGCACCACATTGCAAGAGAAATTGGATGGAGTGCGGCCCAGGCTCACCTTCTTACTCTGGAGTTGAGACACTTCTTTCTGATGGTGTCTTTAGAGAAGTGCAACATCATGAGCAGACTGTTGCAGTGTGGAGCTATGCTCCAGTTAGCACAAGCTTTGCAGCAGGGGTGAGAGAACAGAATGCCTTTGGGAAATAATCTTTGTCTAAATTTGCTGTCCAAACCAGGCCCATTGAAACTATACTGTCCCCTTCTCTCCCAGGCCTGTAGAGCAGGCCTGGAAGTCCAGCCTTGTAGGACAGATCTACAGCTGGAAATTTAGTTAATTTTGCAGCCTGGGCAAGAATTGAGCTGCTTTTCCTGCCCCTGAGATGGCTGTCTCTAGGCAGCTGCCCAGGTTCAGTGGCATAACATATCTGATGTAGTCTTTCTAGCTGGGTGTTGGTGACTGCATCCCTTGAGTCTAGGCTCCTTTTCCACTGAGGCATTCAGCAGCCTTCCCTTTGGTTTTGGTCACCTTGGTTTTGAGTCCTGAGTGCTTCTAACCCTGTGCTCACCCAGCTCTGATGCTGAGAAACCCAAGTGTGACTCTGGCTTGGGAAAGCACCTGTGTGTGGGATAATGATCCAAGAAGTGTAGTGGGGCTTTGTAAGGAAAGTGATCCCTGCAAGGGCAGTTTCTTCCAGGCTGGAACGATTGTCAGAGGGAATGCACAGCTGTGGAGCTGCTGTTCCTGGCAGAGGCAGGACCAGTTTTATGATGCAGAAGCTATGGAGTTTGTAGGTTTTGGTAAAGCATTTTAACATTTTGCATGCCAGTGTCGGGAGTGCCATGTACTTCCAGCCACTGCTTTTGAGCTTTGTTGTCCTTGCTACCTTTGGTACCACAGAAGGGGCAAGGAGATGGGAACACGCTCTTTGCTGGAGGTAGGGCATCACGTTGTCTTGTCTCAAATAATTTGCAGCAAAAAGGTTTTGACCTTTCTCTCCAGGAACCTGCTGGGACTTCATTGCAACACTCGTGTGTTGTGTTTTCAGAGGCTGGGCTGGTGTGAGGGTACAGCCTTGGACTTGACCCTGGTGCCAGTGTGAGAGCACAGGCCAGGGGGTGGCTAACAGCAGTCTTTTCACCCAACAGAGCAAGCACAGAGACAGTGCTCCCTACGCCGAGTATGGTGGCTGGTACAAGGCCTGCAAGGTTAGCAGGTAAGAGAGGTTTGTGGGCAGCTCTAGGCAGTGGGTGAGGCGTCCCCAGGGCTCCCACTCACCTGCTGCTTGTTCCCATAGCCCGACTGTGAACACCACTCTGAGGAACCTGGGTGCGCTGTACCGGCGCCAGGGCAAGCTTGAGGCGGCGGAGACCTTGGAGGAGTGTGCAGTTCGCTCTCGGAGGCAGGTAAGCCCACAGGGACCTTCCCTGGTGGGTGGGAGGATGCTGTGGGACTCGGGGCTAGCAGGCTGTGGCGTTGCCCTGCGAGTGATGAGGGTTGTGCTATGCCTTGCAGCCTCCTGTCTGTGACTTGTATTCCCGTAACGCTGGAACGGCTCGGTGGTTGAGGTTCCATTTGTGCAGGGGGTATGCTTGTGTTTGCATGTGTGGGATTGCACTGGTGTATGTATGTATAGATGGAGCATCTGTTGGGGTGTATGTATGTGTGTAGAAATACAGCTGTGTTAGGGCTATGAAGCTTTGTCAGCTGAGAGGAGTCTGCACTTGGTGAGGTGTGTTCTTCCTACTAATTTGTCCAGGAATTACAGCTCCTGCACTGGGAAACCTGTGGTGTAAGTACCCAGCACGAAGAGTGAGGGACAGCAAAAAGCTTCACATATCAGAACATGAAGAGGGGAGAAAAAAGGCCGTCAGCTTTTTGAGGCAGCAAGCTCTTGTCATTCAGGGTGGCATATAGCTTATAAGGCATTCCCTGAACAAGAGCTACTGAATTCAGGATGCTGTTTGGCTCCGTCCTTCTTGTTTGGGAGAATTCTGGCTGTGATGGGGCGATGACTGAGAGAGGGAGAAGGACCAGGCAGATAACAGCATTGAAGAGCAAAGTCTGGTGCTTCCTTATTCCTTTCTATTTGCAGGGCATTGACCCAATCAACCAGACGAAGGTGGTGGAGATCCTGAAGGAGGGTGATGGCACAGAGAGACGTCGGAGCCTGGGTGGCAGCGTCAAGTACGAGAATGCCACAGACGGTAGCGAGGAAGTGAGTATGGGCGTGGAATGGAGCGGGGTAAGTACAAGACACCATCAAGAATGGCCTCAGCTGGCTGCTGGAGGGAAGGGACAGCCTGGCTCAGGGCTCTCCCCGCGTGGCCTGTCGTGGCATCCTTGTCTACCTCCATTTGTTCCCTGCATACTTCCTTCTCCTCTTTCTTGGCATGAGCCAGCCCACAAAGGTGCGCGTCTGGTCCTGGCTTGTCGTGTACAGGCCAGGCACTCTGAAGAGTTCTCACTTCTAGGGGGCTTCCAGTTCCTGGCAGTGCACAGCATGAGCTGGTCCTGGCCTGCCCTTAATCTTAGCCTTGGCAACCTTATTAACACCTCTCCCTGCTGCTCTCCTCTTGAGGCTGTGGCTGAGTGTCAGCCCCATCTCAGGCCCACACAGCCTCTGTGAGCAACTTGCCTTTCTGTCCTGCAGCGCACCACAAGTGATGCTGGGTCTGGGGAGGTGTGTGTGTGCGTGCGTGCGTGTGTTTGGTGGGGCTGTGACTGTGTCTGCAATGTAAGGAAATAGTCCACAGCCAACACCTTTACTGTCCTCTTGTGGTCTTGTGCCCCTCCTGTGGGCTGTGGTCAAACGGGTTGGAAAAGGCAGGTTTTCTTGGGATGCCTGGCTGGGCTGACCAGCGGTGTCAAAAGAGGCTGCTGTTAGCTGAGGCTTATTCAGGGTGACCCAAGCTTACTGTTCTTGCCCTGAGACTGAAGGGCACTGTGGTCACTAGTACTGAGTTTGGAGGAAGGTAGCGGTCCAGGTCTGGGACAGGTGGTTTCTTCAAGGAGGAGGATGGAGAAGAGGCAACAAGTGAGCATGGTGCTGGTGGATGCTTGGCTTGAGGGCTGCTGGAGCTGTTAATGCTTACCATTCTTCCTGCAGACTCTGGCTGAGAGTGTAGTGTAGCTGGCACCTAGGGCTGGCTGCAGCCTGGCATAAGCAATGCACTGAGCATGAATCCTCTACTCCCCCTCACATCTGCTGTCACTAACCCTTCCCCACGTGGCCATCCTCACCCGCATGAGCTGTTCCCCTTCTTCCTTCCTCTTCCCTGTTGCCATGACAGCCCCTCAACATCCAAACCTAAAGCCTGGCTCTCTTGATTGTGGATTGTACCCCGAAGGTGGCTGGAGAGGGCCTGGGGAGCTGAGCTTTGAAGGGGCCCAGCAGCTCCTCCAGATGCAAGGCTGTTCTTTGTCTCAGCTATTCATCTTCAAGGGTGAAGAGGGTCTTATTCCTGGCCCTCATGTTCCCTGTTAGTAGAGGGGGGAGAGTGGAGGGAGGAGGGCTGCATCACTGGATTAGGATCACCCAGTCCCTGACCTGGTTGGTGACTGCAGCACCTCCTGGCTGTGGTTGGCATTGGCTGATTGCTTTCTGCAATGCAGCATAGGCCTTGCTGCTGGCCTCTGAGCTATCAGCCGAAGGCAAGCAGACAGTGTCACCCTCTCCTGCAGCCTTGACCCAGCAGATGGGGATATCCCCTGCACCTACGATTCTTTCCCAAGGGGCTTGTCAGGGCTGCCCACAGTCAGCTGTATGGAAGGGGCTTGGGGGGGCTAACTCAGCACCCTAGGGATATGGCTGCTGTCATGTGGTGCTTGGTGCTCTTCCTAGCTGGCTGCACACACAGCCAGCTCCCTCTGCCCAGCCAGCACCCTGCAGCTCCCCCCTGGAGAAGGCTGGGGCAGCTCCCTCTTCTGTTACAGTCAGTCGTTCCTTGCACCGCTGTGGAGATCTTGGGTTGTAGTGCCCAGGCCCACCTCTGTTGCCATCCCTTTAGCTATCAGCTGCTGCAGAAATAGCTCTGGATGCCCCAAGAACACCAGTGACTGTACCCTGCTGCCCAGGGTAGCTCTAGAAACACCCCAGGGCCTGACCGAGCTATTTGTGGCCCAGTTAAAATATGAGCTTGCTAATTTAGCTTCACCACCCTCCCTCCCCACCTAAAAGTGGCCCATGGTCACTGCATGCAGCCTGGGACCTGACCCACCAGCTCCCTGGACTACCTGCAACCTCATGGGCTTGTAAACTTTGTCTTTCTCCTTTCTGTGCACTAGGCTTAAATGCCTCCCGAGACTCCCTCTTTCCCCTCCACCGCAATCAATCACCTGGATGTTTGTGTTGTATCTTCCAACTTTATCCTCCACACCATCCCTCCTTCCTCGGCAAGGACTCCACGCCAGTCCCCCAACCCTCCCGGCGCGTGAGGGCACCACAGCACCTGCAGAGGAGTGCCTGGGGCTTCGTTCCAGTCCCATGGCCAGCAAGAGCAGGAGGAATCTGCATGGAGCTGCCTGCTCCCCCCTGGTCAGGGTGGTGGGCCACCATCCCCTTGTGTGCCCTCACCTCCCAGCCTGCCCTTGCACAGCTCTGGGGACCAAGCCTGCAGGGGATTGTCTTCAGGTGTATTGACTCCACCATCATTAGGCATCCTGAACCCTCATAGCTTGTTCCCTCCATCTCTGCAGAGGCCAGGATGGAGGTGTGAAGATGGGAGGGCTGTTTAGGGACACAGAGGCCCAGCCTTGGCAGGACTGTTGTGTGCCCAGTTATTTTCTTCCCTGTAGGCATAGCTGATGTTAGTGCCCTGTAGTGAACCTGCGCTGACCACCAATGAGTTGGGCTCTACCTGCAGCACAGGGCAGCCTCCCTCTTGCTCTCCTCCTCCTGCTGAGCTCTGCAGCTTAGGGCCAGCACGTGGATCTCTGCAGGGCATGGGGACGGAGGGTGGCCCATAGCTACTGCGCATCTGAGCTGGGACTGGGAGTGACAGTCAAGGGCTGTGCATCAGACAGGGATGTGCAAGGGCAAGTGTGCACTGTTGCCAACTCCTGACCTGATACTGTAGCTGAGTTTCTTGCTTGGTGGTGTTATCGGCTGCCTGTTGCTCCAGGGTAGTTGGTTGTGTGCCCTGAGAGAAGAAGAGGTGAGGGTGAAGCTATATGCTGTTTCTTGGAGGCAGAGGGAAGAAGGGTGGGAGGAGAGCAGAACTCTTCTGTGATCAGTTAGAAGTGGCTGAGATGGAGAACAGGCTGGTTTGAAGTAGAGCAGGTGAGAGAAAAAGGAGGTGCAGAGAAGGGTGTGAGGAAAGGAAGAGCTGGGGCTTGGGGTGTTCCAAGCATGAGTGGGAGATGAGCTGGCTGAAGGGGGATTTGTGCAGAAGGTAAGGCTTTCCAGGGAAGAACAGGCCACATTGCTCAGGGAGGAGTTGTTGAACACAGGACGTGGCTTACGAGGTGTGGCCCTTGGGGTTGTGACTTGCTGTCCTTCCTCGTGTAGAGGGCAGGATTGTCACTCTGTTGCTCCCAGGGAGGCAGTGTTGGCCTGGGCTTCGTGAGGGTGGCTCAGTGCCTGTGATGGGACTCCACCAGAGTGCTGTCAGTCACTGCTGAAGAAGGGGATGTTTCCTAAGGCCTTGAGCCTCATGGCCTCAGATGCAGACCTTCATCCTACCTCCTATAAGAGGTGAGCCTGGGGAGGCTGCAGGCAGCAGGACAGAGCCTACAGGTCAGCGCAGGATTCCCCCCCTCCCTTATTTATTTAAGTAGGTAGTTTCTCTCATGCTAGTCGTCTGGTAGGCTGTAATAATAAATGTGCTTGTGTCTGTCTGGGCCTGGCTTTCCTGTGGTGATGCAGAGGCCTCGGGGCACTTGCATACTGCTCTCCTGGGAACTGGTGCTTGCTGAAAGGAGATCTAGGGGCTTAGGGCTCTAGGGCCGTGCCTTCCCTGCCCCTCTCTCCTGCTGCTGCTCCATGGTGTTGGAGCATGGTGAGTCCCCAGAGTTCAGGCCTCAGCACCACCTGCCTCTGCTTTGCCTGCCATGGACCTGGTGCTGTAACAACTGTACCTGTGATTAAAGGGAGACAGACCTGAACTGCTGCCCTGTGCTTCTTTCCATGCTTTGTAGGCCAGCATTGGTCAGCCCTGGGGCGGTGGGGGCAAAATGCTGCTGGATCAGGTGTGGGTGCTCAGTGTCTGTGTGTATGCAGGGGCATGTGCTGCTGCGTGGATGGTGTGGGCGCATCTCTTCTGGGCTGAGCATCGGGGCAGGACTCGGCTCCCTGCTTCAAACTGGGGTTGCTTCCAACCATAGCTCTGCAGTCACACTGTAGGGCTGACGTGGAGCATCTGAGGTTGGTTCTTTCTCAACTGCTGTTTTCATTAGCCAGAAAAATACCCCACTGTGTCCTCTGGTGCTGAGCTTTGCATGCTCTTAAATCCTGCCTGAGTCCTTTGCCTCCGTGAAGCAGACTGCGTGAGTGTGCAGGGGAGAGTGATTCAGTGCTGAAGCTGCTGCTTGTGCTTTGAGTGCTCTCGTCCTTGTGGGTGCAGTGAGGTGGGTGCTCTGCGGTAAACCAAGTGCCTTCCATGTTCTGGGTTAAAAATAACCTGCAGAAGAGGGAGTGGGGAGAGAAAGAAGGCTATTTTTAATCCAGCATGCAGCAGAACTTGGTTCTGGCATTGAGCTGCAGTTAGCCTGCATCACTGTAGCTGGGCAAGTGTGGCTCTGTTCACCACCCCTGACTGTAGAGCTTACTTGGGTCCTGGGCAGCTTCTTGCTGCCTCTGTACCATGGTCCTGCTCCACTGCCCCAGCAGTGCTCCCTTTTCTACCTCTGGCTGCTGTGTCCTGGCAAAAAGAACAGAGCTTGACATGACAGTACCCTGCCAGGAGGGTGGTAGCACAGGGGCTAGTGGTGGCAGGGCTCTTTTGCTTCTTCCCCATCCCCTACTTTGGTAGTGCCATGCTGATGACTGGCTCTTCTAAAACCCACCTAGGATGCCTGCTGGAGGAGCTGAATGCTTGCCTTGCTAATGCTGATGGTGCTTTCTGCATTCCTGGTGCGTGGGTGCCTTGCTGCAACAGCACACAGATCCTAGTTTGGAAGCCCTTTGCTCATTACCTCAAAGAGGCTTATTTGGTTTATCCAGGAACAGATGGGACCAGAATCAGGAGAAAGGTTTGCTGTTAGGAAACATCCTGTTCACCTGGTAGGGGGGGTCTAGGGCTGGATCAGCATTGAGTAACCAGAGCAGGGAAGTGTTTCCCTGGTGCCAGGGTGGTTCCTGGAAACCTGGGAAAGAGCAGGAGGAGCCTTAAGGCAGAGCCTGCAGAGCTGCACAAACAATCCTGGGGCTCTGGCTGCTGCTGGCTGAGGCCGGGGGGCATTCTGCTCATGGAGACTATCTAAGGGTATCACACATGCTCATAAAGAGCAGAGGGCTTTGGTGGTGCTTTACCTCCATTTTCTTACTGCCTCCTTGTGTGGGGGAGAGGCAGCCCTTGAGGCCAATAGGACTGGCACCCAGGAAGACTGCTGTTAGCAGATCATAAGAGCAAAAGCAGTCCCTCATCAGCAGTGATGTTGCAACCCTCCTTAAGGAGGTTCCTGGCTATGCAGGAGAGCTTGGTGATGGTGGTACAAGGTGGCCTCACACTGGCAGCATGTGCTCTGTATGTGTGGAGCAAATTGAGATGGGCTGGAGCCTGGCATGGGCTGAGTGCCCCGTAAGAGGCCCCAACAGCAGACAGACAGAGGAGTGTATCCCCCGTGGAGTGGAGCTGCCTGCACTGCTCAGCAACTACAGAGACAATGGAGAGAGTCTTGGGGGGGGGCTTTCAAGGTGGGCTGAGTGAGTGTGGTGCGCAGAGTGGTGCTGCCTGACACGAGTGTAGCTGTGAAACCAGCAAGCTGGAGCAGGATGAACACTGCATGGAGAGAGAGAATGGCACTGGTGGAGCGAGGAGGGGAGTTGGGCCTGGTCTCCATACTAGGAAGAGAGTCTTTGAGGCAAGCGACCCAGCAGCACATCCTGGCCCAACCAAAAGTATCCCTCAGCGTGGGGATTCCCACCAGCATCTGCTTGGACCTCCTCATAGCTGCCAGCTGAGCCGTAGGAGACGGAACAGGGCCAGGGCTGCCTGGTGCGGCCTGGTTCACAGCACACTCGAGCTTTCTTTGTGCTGCTCAGTCCTCGCCCCCTGGCTTGTGTCTCCGTCTCCAGGACGGCAGCGGTACCCTCCAGCGCAGCAGCTCCCTGGGGAAAATCCGGGATGTGATCCGGCGGAGCAGCGAGATGTTGGTCAAGAAGCTGCAGGGCAACGGGCCCCTGGAGCCCAGGAACACCAGGTAGGGGCTACGGCCTGGGTCCTGCCGGGCCGCGGTGCCGCTGCGGGATCGGGCGTCAGACGACCCCTCTTCTCTGCTTTCTCGTAGCATGAAGCGAGCCGCCTCGCTAAACTACCTGCACAAGTCTAGCGATGCTTCGTTCGAGGTGAGCGGCGGAGCAGGAGCTGGGGGGCCTGGCGCTGGGGGCCCGTGCTGATACACGCCGTGTTTTTCAGGGTACCCAAGGGCTCCGCGCAGAGAGCAGAGGCCTCAGCGCCAGCAGCATGGATCTCTCCTCGCACAGCTCCCTGCTCGCTTCCAACTGAGCGCCCGCGGCAGCTTGCCGCAGCTTTGCGCTGCGTGGGGCAGCGCCCGGCCCCCTCCCCACCTCCACCGCTCCGTTCTCCTCACCGCGGGCTCTCGGGCCGCTCTTTGCCGCCCCACCCCGGGCCGGGGGAGCCCCTAGCTAGTTTGGGAAGCGCAGCCCGCACGCGTGCTCCTGTCCCGAGCGAGCGGGGGCCGGGCGGGTAGGGGGGTGCGGGCCATCACCGGCTCACGGCGCCGCACCCGGAGCACCGCCGCGCACCCCCGCCGCCCGGACCGCCGCACTCGGGGGCGCCCGGACCGCAGCACCGCCCGGCATCGCCCACCCGGGGGCGCGGCGAGGCGGGGAGGGGGCACAGCCCCGCCGCGATCCCGGCTCCCCTCGGCTGCTGTATGTTATTTTATGAAATAAAGCCACGACCCTCCCCGTGACGCCGGGCGCTCCTTGGGGCGGGGGGGGGGGTGGGCCGCGCGCGGGGCTCCGGGGCGGGGAGCGATGACGACGGCGGCGATGACAGCGCGGTGACGCCCCGGAGGGCCGTTCCCTTCCGGAGCGGGGCGGAGGGCGATGGCGCGCATCACGCTGGAAGACCTGGACAGGCTGGGCGACGAGGAGGAGGAGGGCGAGGAGGAAGGGGGGGAGGACGAGGAGGACGAGGAGGAGCGGGGCCGGCTGTTCGCGCACTGGGAGGCCGTGGCCAGCACGCACCGGGTGAACCTGCCCCGAGGTGAGCGCCGGGGCAGCCCGGCTGGGGGGCGGCCCGGCCCGGGGGTGCCTCCGCGCCTCCACGCCCGGCCCGCCGCCCCCGCGCCGCGCTTTGCCTTGCAGACATGGCGGGCCCCATCGTCCAGATGAACCGGCACAGACAGACGCGGGAGCCCGTGCCCCACGTCGCCCTGTCGCAGCACGGCAAGGTGAGGCCCCGCTTCTCCGCTCCCGCTGAGCTCGGCGCCGTCCCGCTCCCGGCCATGGAGCTGCCGGGCCGGGCCGCCGCACCGGGGCCGGCCTGCACTGTGTAGGCTGCGCTGCCTGCGGGAGAAGGGAGGGCTGGGCCCGCAGTGCGCCCTGCGGCTCCGGCTCCAGCGCTGCGTGCGCTCTGGGTGCCACTGTAAGAAAGACGTGAAACTACTCGAGAGTGTCCGCAGGAGGGCTGCAGGGCTGGGGAAGGCTCTGCTTGAGGGGCACTGAGGGCCCTGGGTTTGCTCAGCACAGAGCAGAGGAGCGGAGGGGAGGCCTGATGGCAGCTGCAGCTCCCCCAGGGAGCGGAGGGCAGCGCTGAGCTCTGCTGTCTGTACAGCGACAGGGCTGAGGGAACGGCGTGGAGCTGCGTCAGGGGAGGGCAGGTGGGGGCGAGGGAAAGGCTGTGCCCCAGAGGGTGGTGGGCACGGCACAGGCTGCCCAGGGCAGTGGGCACGGCCCCGATGCCGGAGCTCAGGGAGCGCTGGGACACCGCTCTGACCCTGGAGCTGGGGTGCTGTGTGGGGCCGGGGGTTGGGCTCGGTGATCCTTGGGGGTCCCTTCCAGCTCGGGATGTTCCCTGATTCTACAGTTCTGTTTGTCAGACTGAGCGTGTCCTGTGTGTCAAAACTGCTGTTCCAAACCTGGTGGCTTCTGCCTGAAGATCTCCCGCTCTTGCTAAATTGCACACCTCCGCTAATCTCTTACACAAAAAGGTGCTTTGAGAAATAACTGCAAAGAAGTGCTCGTCAGACTGGTTCTTGTGTCTCTTCAAGCTTGGTTGGGCTCGCTACCAAGAAGATATCTGTCAGTTGTCCTCTAGATGAGGAGAGCTTAACCAGTTTCTTCTGGGCTGAGGTCCAGCAGTGCTGCCTGTGGAACACGTCTCAGCATGTGGGTTGTGCAGCTCTGAGCTGGGCTGCTCCACGCTCCCTCTTTCCTGCTCTTCTGGGTCTCAGAGCTTAATCTGGGCTCTTCTGTACCTCCCCCATTGTGGGCAGGATTGCAGCCCAGCACTCCACGGTGCCTGAAGACCTTCTGTTGCCAATGGCACCTCCACTGTTTGAAGAGGATTCTTGGAGTTCAGCTCTGGGGCTGCGCGAGATGAGAGCCACCTCCTGGCACAAGTGCAGGGGCACTCAACCGTGGGCCCTTGTGGACACGTTCCCCAGGCTTGGGTGGGTGGTAGAGCTTGGTGGCTCCTCTTGAGCTTCATGCCATCCTCTTGGAAGCACTCAAATAACTGCACCACCTGCAGAGCCTTGCTGACCTCGGCACTGAGCATCAGAATCCCCACCCCACATGGCAGGGAGCTGTTGCCACCAGGTACAAGTGAGGCATCGTCACTCTTTCTCTTGCCCAGGTCTCGTCTTCTGGAGCGGTGGTGGGTCAGTGTAAGGGCCAGACTGCGGGAGGACCCGGCACTGTGCCCTGCTGGATTCTCAGATGTTGTCACAATGAGAATTAGACAGTATTTCATGGG